CCACTCAGACAGGTCCTTAATTTCCCCCAAAGACTTCCTGAGCAAAAATATGCACACGGGAGACCCAGGAAAATGAAAATGGGAAGGGAATAGAAACCATTGCTTTGTGTTCATGTCATTGGGGACTTTCAGTCTTCTCAACAACTTTGAGTTCTTCCACAAGTTTTAGTATCAGTAGAAATGAAAAACAGAAGAGACCCATATAAGTCAGAGAGCTCATGGCTCTATTACTACCTCAAAGTTACTTAGTAACAAAGATAAGAGAGTAGGCCTTTCTGAGTTACCTTAGGTTCTAGGAACTGAATGCAAGTTTTCAAGATTTTCTAGTCATTTTTATTCTAACATGTAACTCAATCAATTCAATTGGTTACATGACTACTCATGCCAATAACAAAGAAAGAAGACTTGGTAGGAAGTAGAAAACAAATATATTTTGTATATGGGTTGCATTATCTATTTCAAAAATGTGAAGATGGAAACCAGCCCTGAGTCTTACCAATTTTTGAGAAAAACATGCCCACTGAAACAAACATCGTTTCAAAAGTCTCTTTTCTTCTCTAAGACACTATCTCACCACAAAATTGCAGCTGAATTATGCTTTAATGGCTAAAATATTTGACACTGGAACTTTCTTTTATCTGCATGCCTTTTTCAAACTCCCTGAGTAAGGGACTTTTATTCAGAAAAATGTACTTTTAGTAAACTACTATGTGGAATTTCATTCTTGATGAATTCAATCATTTTTCCCTTTCTTAAAAAAAAAAAAAGAAAGATCCACTGCCTCCCCCCTCAAATTGGTACTGTTATCCATGAGAAGAAACGTTGAGATCTGAGCTCTGACGTGAGAGATTACATAGTGAGCAATTCCCACAGCGGCAAAAAGTAGTACAACAATCACTGATTTTAAGGAACTATAAGGAATTTCACCAGGTATTTCATCAGGTATTTTTAGATATTTTCAGATTCTATATTTATATAGCAAATATGGTATGCAAATGTACAGATCACATTATTAAAATTTTTTGTATCTTTATCCAAAGAGTAGTAATAAGTCAAATTAAAATATTCCCATTTTTAAAAGTTGGAATGGGCTGGAGAGTTGGCTCAGCAGTTAAGAGCACTGACTGCTCTTATAGAGGACCTGGTTGGATTCCCAGTACCCACATGGCAGCTATCAATTGTCCTAACTCTAGTTCCAGGAGATCTGACACCCTCTTCTGACCTCTGTGGGCACTGCACCACATTGGTGCACTTATACACATACAGGCAATACATTCATACACATAAAATAAAAATAATATCAAAAAAACAAAAAACAAAAGTTGGAGTACAATTCGTATGAATTAGTCATGATATAAGCAGATGTACTAAACATAACTATAGAAGTGTGGTGCTGCAAAGAGCTTAAGAGATCCAAAACTTTTACTTTTTACTAAATATCAAATAGACAGTCATATAAGTAGTAAATTGACAGACCCAGGAATAGTACTCCTGGTCTTTTCCCTTTGAGGTCTTTTTTCCAGATACCTGATACTACCTGTCTGTTAAGCACATGTATAACTATCCTGTTTAAGTAATGGCTTATAGTTTACTGTTCTTACAAACATTATTTAATGTTATTCTTAAAAATAGTCAATCAGACAGGGAGAGTCATACACTTTGGCAATGCTGCTTATGAGTCAAGTGGGTTTTAATCTTCCGTACAGCTTAGTATTTCCCTCTCAGTTGTAATCATACCTTTCCTAATTAACTATACTACTACTAATCAAAGAGTAGATATAGCAAAGTTCACAGAAATATTAAAGGTAATAATGAAGAAAGGACAGCAGAACTGGAGTGGCAACATGTCACAACTCCTTTAAAAATTACATTTATGGGCTGGAGAGATGGCTCAGCAGTTAAAAACACTAGTTGTTCTTGCAGAAGACCCAGGTTCAAATCTCAGCACCCACAAGGCAGCTAACAACTGTCCATAACTCCAGTTCCAGGGGATCTGACAGCCTCTTCTGTCCTTCATGGGCACTGCACAACATGGGTGCACTTACCTATACACGGGTGATGCACACATACACATAAAATAAAAATAATAAATAAAATATGGGGCTAGAGAGATGGCTCAGCGGTTAAGAGCACTGAATGCTCTTACAGTGGACCCGGGCTCGATTCCCAGCACCCATATGGCAGCTATGAACCGTCCTTAACTTCAGTTCCAGGGGAATCTGACTTCTACACTGTAGTTAACACTAATTTAACTCTTATGAAATTAAGTAATTCAGTAAGATTACTAAGGACAGGTCAGGTGTGGTGGTACACACCTTTAATTCTAGCACTCGGGAGGCAGAGGCAAGCGGATCTCTGTGAGTTCGAGGCCAGCCTGGTCTACACAGTGAGTTCCAGGCCAGCTAGGGCTACAGGGAGACCCTGTCTCAAAAAGAACTCCCCCGCAAAAAAAATTACATTTATTTTACTTTGTGTGCACTTGGGAGGCAGAGGCAGGAGGACTGCTGTATGTTTGAAGCTAGCCTGGTACACACAGTAAGTTCTGGTCTGGGCGATAGTGTCTAAAAAAAGTCAGTTGTACTTAGATAACAGATAAGAGGAAAATGAAAAAAAAAATTAGTCTTTTTGAAACAGGGTAGCCCTGTACTCATAGCTGGCCTGGAACTCACTATGTAGAATATGTTGACCTCAGTCTCACAGAGATCCACCTACCTCTGCCTCCTGAGTGCTGCAAGTAAAGGTGTGTGTCACCACACCCAGCAAAATGAAACTATTCACAATAGCAAAACTGAATATTTTTTATCACCTCCCATTCACAAATGACACTTTTCCCCCAGTGACAACTTCCTCTAAGGATCCTATTTTAAATTGTACCCCCCCATTTATTCCCTTCACCCAAAATTCCTTTCTAGTATATCAGATATTTTATGTATTTATTTGTTCAGTGTTTAACATACACTAAAATGAAAGCACTGTATAACTGTGTTCTGTATTCCCAATGTCCAGAACACTGACTAACAGACAGCAGACACTCTTCAAATAGCTGTCAAACATGTCAATGAATTTTTGATCTTGGAGAAGAAAATGTAGTATATTCCTTAGACCCATGTTAAATTTAATTAATTATTGTTATTGTTTTCAAATATTCATTATTTTTATTTTATGTGTATAAACATATTGCTTCCATGTATGTAAGCGCACCCATGCCATGCAATGCCTGTGGAGGTCTGAAGAGGGTGTCAGATTCCCTGGAACTGGAGTTATGGGCAGTTGTTAATGGCCATGTGGGTGCTGGGAACTGAACCTGGGTCTTCTTCAAGAGCATCAGTGCTTTTAACAGCTGAGCCATCTCTCCAGCCCCCAATTATTTTTTGAGACAGGTTTCCCTGAATCCCCAGCTAGCCTGGAATTCACTATGTGGACCAAGCTGGCCTCAATCTCATAAAGGTTTGCCTGCCTCTGCCTCCTGAGTGTTGAGATTAAGATATGTGCCTCCACACCTGGCTATTTATTATTTTTAATTTTTTGGTTTTTTTGAGACAGGGTCTCCCTGTAGCCCCAACTGGCCCAGAACTTGCTATGTAAACCAGGCTGGCCTTGAACTCACAGAGATCCACCTGCCTCTGCCTTCTGAGTACTGGGATTAAAGGTGTGCGCCACCATGCCCAGCTTATTTTTTAAAAAAATATATATATATTTATATGTATGAGTGTTTTGCCTGCAGGTATGTAAGTGCATCACATCCACGCCATGCCTGTGGAGGCCAAAAGAGGGCATCAGATTACCTGGAACTGGAATTCCAGCTGGTTGTTAGCTCCCATGTAGGTGCTAGGCACCAAACCAGGGTTCTCTGGAAGAGCAGCAAATGCTCTTCACCTCTGAGCCATCTCTCCAGCCCCTTACATTAAATTTAATGCATAATTATTAAAACATTTTCAATAAACTCAAGGTACAGGAAATTTAATTAATACTCAGAGAAGCACATCCCATTGAATAATTTTTTTTTTTTTTTTTTTTTTTTGGACAAGGTTTTCTGTAGCCCCAGCTGGCCTGGAATTCACTTTGTCTGCCTTTGCCTCCTAAGTGCTGGGATTAAAGACATGCACCACCATGAGAAGCTGAAAATAACTTAATTCTTGATAACTTAAGATAGTTTCAGGATTTGTATCCTCATTATTTGGCTGAGCAGGCTGGCTTGTAATTTCAGCTACTTGGGAGACTGAGGCAGGAAGATCACAATTAAGGCCTACCTGGGCTATAGAATGAGTTCAAAGATAGCCTGGGCAACTTAGTGAGACCCTGTCTCAAAATGAAAAGTAAAAAGAAGGCTGGGCATGGTGGCACACACCTTTAATCCCACCACTTAGAAGCAGAGGTTGGTAGTGAGTTTGAGGGCAGCCTATTCTATACTGTGAGTTTCCAGTCAGCCAGGGCCACATAATGAGACCTTGTCTCAAAAAAAAAAAAAAAAAAAAAAAGGAAAGTAAGAAAAGAAATGGGGATGTAGCTTAGTGGTAGAGTGCTTGCCTAGCATGTATGTATGAGGCTCTAGGTTCAATGCTCAGTACCTCACATTCCCATAGTGATCCTATTTGCACTGATTCCAGATTATGTAGCAGAAATTCTTTTAAAAAATATTTTATTTATTGTTTTTATTGTATGTGTATGAATGTACTGCCTGCATGTATGTAAGTGTACCCGTGTTGTGCAATGCCTGCAGAGGTAAGAAGATAGCATTAGATCCCCTGGAACTGGACTCTAACCCGGGTCCTCTGCAAGAGCAGTCAGTGCTCTTAACCACTGAGCCATCTCTCTAGCCCAGAAATTCTTACTTAAATATATATAAAAAAATCATTAACTGTAATATGTCCTCATTTAATTTAATCATTGAAGAGATTAGGGGTTTTTTTGTGGGGGAGATCTTTCAATTAATGGCATTTCATATACAATAGACTATCAGTTTTTTCCTCACGGAGAATTATAGAAACATCCATTTTTACCTTAACTGGGAAGCTACACTTTCCAGTGCGAACCCCTTCTTCATCTGTCTGCCACTGATGTGGACGACTGGCCTCTGGAACATAAACATCTTTCTTTCTCCTAAAACTTTGCCGTAATTTGTTCATGTTAATTTTTATAACCTGTAGACAAAGTAAAAGAAATTTCAAAAAGTTATCATCTTCTTACACATTAAAACTTTGGATTATCATCTCAGTACGACCCCATTCCCCCAAAACACTAAAGTCCCAAGTAAAAGGTTATGGCTTAAGGAAAAAAGAATAGTCAGTACATTTGCTCTTAGAGTGATGGAAGGTTCAAACAGAACTGTTTTATGTTCTGAAAAGTCAACTGCAAATACTAGTTCTTGCAAAAAACACAGCTAACTTCTCCAGTCCCTCATGTACTTCTTAAATCTGTTCTCAGTTCTGAAAACAGAAAGTTGTACATGTAGGCCAAATTATAACATTTTTTTTTTTTTTTGTATTCTTGATACAGGGTCTCCCTGTAGCTTCAGCTGGCCTTGAATTCGCTATGTAGAGCAGGCTGGCCTTGAACTCAAGAGATCTGTCTGCCTCTGCCTCTGCCTCTCAAGTGCTGGGAATAAAGGTATATGCCACCATGCCCAGCCCCGATTTCTGAAAACATTTTTAAAAGTTTCATATGGGGCCGGGTGTGATGGCACATGCCTTTAATCCCAGCACTCGGGAGGCAGAAGCAGGCGATCTCTGTGAGTTCAAGGCCAGCCTGGTCTACTAGCGAGTTTCAGGCCAGCTAGGGCTACAGACAGACCCTGTCTCAAAAAGACAAAATAAAACAAAAGTTTCATATGGTGCTGGAGAAATGGCTCAGTAGTTAAGAGCACTGGCTGCTCTTGCAGAGGATCTAGGTTTGGCTCTCAATATCCACATGGTGACTAACAACTGTCTTTAACTCCAGTTCCAAGGGATCCAATGCCCTCTTCTGGCCTCCACAGGCATTGTATGCACATGGTGTACTTACATATATGCAGGCCAAACACTCATACACATAAAATGGAAATAAAATTTAAAATCTCCTAATTATTAGGAAAAATATTCTAAAACCCTGAAATATAGGGATCTTTTTAGCTTACTAATTTTTTTATATTTATTATTTTTATTTTATGTGTATGCGTGTATTGCCTGCATGTAGGTAAGTGCACCTGTGTCCTGCAATGCCCACGGAGGACAGAAGAGGCTGTTGAATCCCCTGGAACTGTGGTTAGGACAGTTGTTAGCTGCCATGTGGGTGCTGGGATTCGAACATGGGTCTTCTGTAAGACCAGTCAGTGTTCTTAACTGCTGAACCATCTCTCCAGCCCCACTTTTAGCTTACTATTAGAAGACACCAGGACAAGGCAAGACTGCAGTTATCTTTTTTGTTTTGCTTGTTTTTTTTAAATATTTTATTTATTATTTTTATTTTATGTGTATGAGTATATTGCCTGTATATGTACAAGTGCACCTGTGTCATGCAATGTCCTCAGAGGTTAGAAGAAAGCACTAGGTCCCCTGGAACTGGAGTTATGGATAGTTTTTAGCAGTCATGTGGGTGTTGGGAATCAAACCTGGGTCCTCTGTAAGAAAAGCCCTTAACTGCTGTGACTTCTCTCCAGCCTTGTTTTTCTTTTTTGAGACAGGATCTTATATAGGCCAGGCTGGTCCTGAATTCACTATGTAGTTGAGGATGACTTTGAACTCTTGATCTTCCTGCCTACACCCCTTGAGTGCTGAGATTACAGGCTGACAATCCCATGTCCTAGTGTATGTAATGCTGCGGACTGACTTGGGGCTTCATGAATGGTAGGCAAGTGCTCTACCAACTGAGCTTCATTCATTCTAAGTTCCTGGAAGACATAATTCTTGAATGCTCTCAAAAGTGCAGCAGAAATCATAAAATTAAAAAGTAAAACCTAAAAAGAATCAGAACATTTAAGAAGCAATGAATAATTATGATGGATGAAGTATCCCTTTACAGAGCAAAATTTCCAAACATGGAAATTAATACTTCAGTTTTCTATTAAGGAACATGGCTTATTCTTTTGTGAAAAGATTAAACTACCTCAAGTAGCCTCAAAGCGATCTTAACTCTAGAAAATAATGTGAGAAAATTATAAAAAATCTGTCTTCTGTGTCAGGAGTATTAATTCCTACATGGCACCAATGATAGACTTGAGACACAAAGTTGCATCCTGGGGAAAATCATTTTGTATATTAAAATGCATAATATCACAGCAGATCAATTACAAAACTAGCTATTTTATATAGACAATCCAATCTTACTACACATCATTTGTAAAAGCTTTGAAAGGAATACAAAAAGTCCTTGTCTTTCTCTCTTTTTTTTTTAAATCATCTTTTTGAGACAGGGTCTCCCTGTAGCCCCAGCTGGCCTGGAACTAATTTTGTAGACCAGGCTGGCCTTGAACTCACAGAGATCTGCCTGCTTCTGCCTCCTGAGTACTGGGACTGAAGGCATGCACCACCACACCTGGCTAAGTCCTTATATTTTCTAAAAATGAATTTAAGCAGACCATTTCTTTTTCTTTTTTAAAATATTTTTTTATTTTTTTATGTGTATGCATATATTGCCTGGATGTATATAAGTGCTCCTGTGTCATGCAATGTCCTCAGAGGACAGAAGAGGCTGTCGGATCCCCTGGAACTGGAGTTACAGACAGTTGTTAGCTGCCATGTGGGTGCTGGGAATTGAACCTGGGTCCTTTGGAAGAGCAGTCAGTGCCCTTAACTGCTGAGCCATCTCTCCAGCCCTCTTTCTTTTTTAAAATAATATTTTATTTATTAATTTTATGTATATGAGTGTATTGGTTGCTTTTGTATAAGTGCAACTGTGTCATGCAGTGCCCACAGAGGTCAGAAGAGGGTGTCAGATCCCCTGGAACTGAAGTTACAGACGGTTGTTAGCCGCCATGTGGGTGCTGGTAATTGAACCTGGGTCCTCTTGAAGAACAGCCAGTGCTCCCAATCACTGAGCCATCTCTCCAGCCCCCACCTTTCTTAATTTCTTTAAAAAATTTTTATTTTTATGTGTATGTCTGTTTCTCTGCACTGTATATATATGCAATGTATGTGTGCAGTACCCACGGAGGTAAGAAGGCACTGGATCTGATGGAATTAGAGTTACTAGCATTACAGACAGCTGTGAGCTGTATGTTGATGCTGGGAACTGAACCTGGGTCCTCTGCAAAAACAGTTTCTTTTCTTTCTCTCTCTCTCTCTTTTTTTTTTTTTTCGGTCTTTTTGAGACAGGGTCTCCCTGTAGCTCCAGTTGGCCGGGAATTCACTATGTAGACCAGGCTGGACTTGAACTCACAGAATCCACCTGCCTCTGACTTACAAGTGCTGGGACTAAAGGTGTGCACCACCGTGCCCGGCTCTCTGCAAGAACAGTAAGTGCTATAACCACTGAGCAATCTTCCAGCCCTCCTTAATTTCTTTCTCTTAGCAACTGCTACCTACCTACTTGGCCTGGTCAAATACCTGAAAACCATCTCTCTGTTTGCTTAGAAAAAATTTTAGTTTTAGGTTCACACTGCCACAAAGCGATGGGTTTCATTATGGTATTATCATATACCGCTCTGTGGTGCTGAGGACTGAACCCAAGACATCATACATGCTAGGCACACACTCTACTTACTGGGCTTCATCCCCAGCTCTCCATCCATTCTTTCTGTGACCTATAAGTACTGATTTTACCTCCTTAGTATCGCTTGAATTCATCCCTTGCCCACTATTGACTCATTTTCACATTTTCACTGTGATACCTTTTTAAAAAATCTGTCTGAAACTTAAGCTAAACTAAGGTGATTTTACCTCCATAGTATGGTTTGAATTCATCCCATCCCACTGTTCATTCATTTTCACTCATCCTCCTCCCCATCCTTGCCATTTGTAATTATCTTTATTACTGGTAGACAGGAGAAATGTAAGAAAATATCCTGATTCGAAGAGCATTAGATACTAGACCAGAATAGATCACACTGCTTAGGTCAACAGAAAGGCCTCCTAGTTATCCTTTTTCTCTTTTTACAGGGTTGGATATTAAAATTATGGCCTTGTACATAGCAGGCAAGCTCTCTACCTCTGAGCCCTTCCTCATCATTTTCATTTTTTTCTATCTTATTCTGTCACCTCCCTTGGTGCTGGGGTTGGAACCCACAAGCAAAGAAGATATATCCCCCAGCCTGCCTTTTTTTGTGTGATATCTTTTTTTGTTGTTGTTCACATCATAGTTTATTTACAATTATATCCGGTATGAGTTCAAGAGTTTAATCCCCTTCTCAGATTGTACCTCTTAAACATTCTTCATATCTGTTAAATGGATGAAGTAAAACATCCTTATTTCTTAAGTAGTTGGTGCCTAACTATAAAGAAAGATGCAGCAAACCCAAATCCAAAGAACACAGTCATCATAGCCAGTAACCGCCACTTGTTATCCACTGAAAATGGCAAATTCTTCCCGGGGCCCTCCTCATAGTGGCCACAGTGGACCACAGAGGTGGTGAACTTCTGGACACTCTGGCCCAACATGGTTCTGCTGGAAGCTCTGCGAGGGGTGCAGACACCTACTGCAGAAGAAATGGTCTTATCACCACTCTCCTTTTCCTCTGGACTTGCTTTCTTTGTGATATCTTTTTAAAAACCACTGTCTGAAACCCAATCACTTCTTTGTTTGTATTAACTGTTTTCCATTAGAGCATAAGCTCTGTAAGGACAGGATTCTAGTATGTTCCCTGTTTACTTCCTGGTTTCCTGGAACTGGTAAGCAGAAGGGCTGTTCATATGTCCTTATTGAATGACTGAGGTCCAACGAGCACTCTGGATTAATAAATACTGAGTGCATGCCTGAGGTTCTGGTCAACATCTGGCTTAAGTAAAGGAGGCACATTGGCACAGGTGAAAGAAGGTGGTAAGCATTACAGTGAAACAGACCTGAGTTTGAATGCTGCACTCCCTTATGACCGTGTGACCTGATGTATGGAACACCTGAGTCACACAATGTGGAATGTGGAATAAAAATGTAAACATGGCTGAACCAATATCAAGGTGTGATAATGCCACTACGTGCAGGCACCCAAAGTGAGAACTTTGGGAATAACACA